GAGCTAAGAATATGTAGCTTGGTGATTTTCAGCAGGCGGGAAAAAGATAAGCATTTATACGTGGGAAACTAACCACCATTTTTTCCTGTGGTTTTGATGTGGTCTCAGTTGTAAAGTTTATAGTTTGAATTTAACCTAACTTTAAAAGCCACGTTTAGACTACTTATCAAATGGGAGCATAAATATAAAATACGGATTCAAACCTTAAAAACTTAAACCAGTGATGAAGGTCATGAGCGAAAGTATCCTTGGCTTGTGTTTCGGAATTTAATACTTCCTTTTTCAAATCTGAAGGGAAATTATCTTCCTTTTGAAATTTGCATCAGATATAAAGATAGAGGGCACACTAATTTGTGGTTTTCCTTTAACTTAATGGGAATACATATTCTTGGAAACATGTTACTTTTGTTGTTTTCAACTCCTTTTCAACATCATTGGTGTTGGGTACTCCGAAATACTAAGATAAGCCTTAAGATACTCTTTTGCCAACATGAGTACGTACTGTAAGGTCCATTCATTTAGGCGTATACAAGATTGTGTGTAGTCTGTATGACTAGCACTGTTTTCTTTTGCTCCCTTCTAATTGCTGGAACGTCAAGTTATAATGAAGCTTCCTTATTCTAGAGAAGGAACAAAACATTTTTATAGTCATTTGGGATATTCTGGCAGTATGTCAACATTAATATGGATGACGAAGCCTGTTCCTCATATCACGGTGATGGGTTCACTCAGCAGTAGGGAATCTTACCTTGGCTGCTATTGTAAAGCACAAGGTGGCACAGAGAATGGGGTATGACGTTGGTAGGACGACAGAGACACATAAGGGAATTTATACTCTAGCAAATACTAATATCTGGCTAACAGACAGCACATTAGATAGCAAGTCAACCTAGGAAGTTTAAGAAATTTTATCTCCCTGGGATTTTATTTTCTCCTCTATAAAATAAGAAGTTGGACTAGACAATTTAGGGTACATCTCAGATATAGTAAGTAATGACTATTGTAGCATTGGTCAAAGAAGACAGCATTGCCCAGCGTTTTCCCTGAACTCATCTGAACTAGCTCTACACACCCGTTAAGGGGAAGATCTCCCAGATTCTGATGAACTTTCGTACTGCTACATACTTTAACTCTACACACACTCTTCCCCATGAAGCAAAACTTATGCAGCTTGATTTTTGTATTTAATAATTATAGACTTTTCTTCCTCTACCCAGTCCTCTTCTGTGATGAGACACAACCCAGAACATTCAGTATGGCAAGAATTGCCTGCATTTTATTTATGTTTTTGTGGAAAGTAGAATCCACGAATAATAAAGACTTTAGGGACTGAACTTTTGTCTAAAAAGATAAAATATTCTATAGAATTTCAATGCAATGAAAATTGGAATGTCAAAGTCTTTCCCATGTGTTTGATGCTTAGCCCTTTTTTAAAACTATGAGGAGCTGACTCCTATGATGTTATGAAAGGGAAAGTAATAGAATGCATAGTTCTAAAGGGGATGACTCAACACAGTTGGGAAATCGGCATCTAGAAGTTAAACATGAAGCCAGGTCGATGACCGATGGTGAGCACAGCCTCTGGCCGGCCTCCCTGCACACCTGCTATTATGGTGCTACACCCCAGCATGAAAGTTAAGTGTGGGCATGAAAGAATAAAGATAACTTAGGAAGATACTAGAGTTTCACCATAAATAAGTTTGTATAGTCTCTCTTGATAGTATACCTTAAAGAAAACTAGCAAGGTTTGCTTATGCTTCTATACTTCAGTGAGCAGTGTCTCCTTGTTTGGTCCCCCATATGCTCAGGATGTCTCTGATTACACCTAGTACGGTGTGGTGTCATGTTGCCCCTTTCTTCAAATAGACTATCAGCACCTATGAGAGGAAATCATTTTCATTGTTTCATTATTTCCACCAGTGTCCAGCACAATGCCTCATACATTACGTAGGAGCCTAATACACTTTTTAGAAGAAATGAGATCTGGAGTTTTGAAAAGAAATAAGAAAAGTAAATAAGAGCTAAAAAAGCATTTGGGAGTTGTACCAGTCAGGAAGTCCAGGTTATGTTGGGGTGCCAAACAACATTAAAAATCTGAGTGGCTTAAAATAATTACTTGTTACTTTTGCTAGATGTCATAGAGGGCTGTGGGAGTTGGGGTGGTGGTGATGGGTGTGAGGGTGGTTTCTTGTTGGAGTCACCTGAAGATCTGGGCTAGCTGAGTCCATCATCTCATGAAACATCATCTCGAAGTCAGGGTTCAACTTTGCTGTGGCAGGACAAGGTCACCAGCAGCTACTAATTCTGCTTAGAAGCAACGTTTCTGTTCCTATTTTACTGGCCAAGTCAAGTTTCATGGCTACTCCTTAGAGGGGCAGAAAAGTGTAACCCTCTGTGCATTTAGAAATGCAGAAGCCTAGGATCTTCATAGACATAGCAGACATAGTGGACCACTTCCTTTAACCACTTCCTTAAGTTGACCTAATTTTTATGGACTGGACGTACACCACAGGTACTCAATGGAAGTTCCTGTGTTGACTAGTTTGTTACACTTTCTTGCATGGTCAACTGACAGACATTTTACTGTATTATTAATGTTTTCCTCTGGAGTTCTTTGTATTAGAGAACAGTAAAGGAGCAGTTAAAATGACAGAGGGTGAAACCATGGCGAAGATGTGAGATGTGTTACTAGGGTGGCAATAGGTTAAGTTTAACACCCAGGAGAGTTTGGTGTGTCTATGCATTGTAAACCTTTGGAAAATACAGTTAATATTAGGTTATAAGGTATTAGGTTTTTTGAGAGTAACTCTTAACTTCATGTTAAAAATATTATTTTAAACATAATCTTTTTCTACTCCCTAATTAAACTTCATGTGCTTTAGAAGTTTGTGTGTTTACTTGCTTTGCCTATTGGAGAATATCTCTGAAACACTAATGGATTAGTTCAGATTTTTTTTTTCTTTTTTTTGAGACAGAATCTCACTATGTTGTCCTCAGTAGAGTGCTGTGGCATCACGGCTTAAAGCAACCTCTAACTCTTGGGCTTAAAGAGATTCTCTTGCCTCAGCCTCCCAAGTAGTTGGGACTATAGGTGCCCACCACAACACCCAGCTATTTTTTTTGTTGTTGTTGCAGTTGTCATTGTTGTTTAGCAGGCCCAGGCCTGGTTTGAACCCACCAGCCTCAGTGTATGTGGCTGGCGCTGTAACCACTGTGCTATGGACTCTGAGCCGTAGTTAAAAATTTTTTAAAAAAGAGACCATAAACTCATTAAAATAGGAAGCATATTTAACTATACTTTTAGAAAATAAGCTAGTTCCCTAAATGTGAGGTCTTGACCTTTTGATGCTGGATCATTTATATTTGATCCTAATTTGCTGTCTGGATTCAATGATTGCAGAATATATAGAAAAGCAGTATACTATTGAAGTTATAACTCAGCAAGCTAGAATGTCAGTGTAGAGCTGTGTGGGGGTCTTAGGTAGTCCCTAAAGAGCTCTTGGCCAGGTGGCATATTTCAGTAGAAGAAGCCTCTTGCTGGGCTTGCTTGAACCTTGGGTGCTTAGTATTTTCATTCTCTAGTGTAGCCGAATTTTCATCAAGTTTGTTTTCCTTTGTAAAACCATTTTCACCATTCAAAGTACAGCATATAATTAGCTAATAGTTTAAGGTTTTGCCATGTTTAATTGGCACCATCTTTAAAAAGCACAGTTAAGCTTTCATCATGCCATAAAGTTTCCAAGAACTTAATAAACCTACCCGACGCGTATGCAGAGCTTCTCTGGCATTCTGTAGATTTTTTTTGAACTTGAAGTATAACTTACATGCACAGACCTTAATGAATATCTTCGTGAATTTTTACATGCCACTTCCAATTCAAGATACAGAAAAGTCCTAGGTTCCTAGACAGTAGGAATCAGTAACTTTTTTCTCTAAAAGGTCTGGCAGCAAATAGTTTAGGTTCTGTAAGCTGTTGTGTCTCTGTTGAAACTCCTCATGGCATGGATTGCCAGTCATTTTTCTTCACACTCTAGTCAGTGATTTGACAACCCACAAGTCTAAGCATTAGGAGCCAAGGAACTGAAAGACAATTCAGAATGGCTGGCATGGTATTCCCATAAGTGTGTGGGAGTCAGAAGACCAGGAGGCTAGTCCTGTCTTCTTCAGTCACTGCCACTATCATCATGGCCAAGCATCTCGTTAGCTGTTCTTTTTGTCAGCTGTCAGATGGAGATAAGGGCCCTTCCTGTGTCAAAGACTAGTATGACAGCGGACAGGAAGAAAATGCTTTGCGGAGTGTCCTATATAATATACGAAGCAGGAGATTTTCCCCAAAGTGTTTAACATAAGTTAAATTATTTACAAGTACAATGAACTCTGTGATTGATCCTTCTTATAATAACACAACCACTTGTTCCACTTTTTGTTCTGAAGTGACAGGTTTTCACCGCCTGCTTCTTAGAAGGGAGCAAACTTGCATATTGAGTCAACAGTGGGTAAAGGTAGGAGATGTGAAGAGAGATGAGTTGAGAACATGAGCTGCTTTATCTCTGGTCCAGTCCTAATCAATTTGACTAGCATGTTCCTCTGTGCTTATCTTCTTCCTGCAAGCTTTAGTTCTTCTATTCCTGTCTCTTCTTCATCGACTCCTAGGTTTACTTGTTTTTCCTTTAGCGCCTCTCTTCTGTTAAGTCAAAGGCAGAAGTGGAGGAGATAACAGAACTTGTAGCCTGCAATACTGCCATATCCGTGTTTATGGTCAATGTGTTTGTACGTGCACAGAACATAAAGCTGGAAAATGATGCGCACAGCCCAGATTATCAGCCACTTCTGCTTCGTGGCTCATGGTTCTCTATGGATGTCATTCATCCCATCAGTTTATGCTGCTGTGGAATGGAAGATATTTGTTTATAGTATTAGTCTTAGGATCAAAGGGGTTATACCTAAATGTAGATTGTGCCTGAATTATGAGTTTTTCAACTTCTTATATTTACATCTAGGGCAGGAGCGGTTTGGCAACATGACCCGGGTGTACTACAAGGAAGCTGTTGGCGCTTTTGTAGTCTTTGATATATCAAGAGGTTCCACATTTGAGGCAGTCTTAAAATGGAAGAATGATCTGGATAGTAAAGTTCATCTCCCAAATGGAAGCCCTATTCCTGCTGTCCTCTTAGCTAACAAATGCGACCAAAAAAGGGATGGTGGCCAGAGTCCTTCCCAGATGGACCAATTCTGCAGTGAACATGGCTTTACTGGATGGTTTGAAACCTCTGCAAAGGTGAGATCTGCTTTGCTTATCTGCTCTGCTATTGAGCTCATAAATCTGAGCTGTAACTGTGAAGTATTTAGATGGATTTATGTGAGCGGCGTTTGGAAGCCTAGCAAATGCAAAGCCTCGCAGAGATATTAGCTTCAGTCTGTAGCAAGACTTTTCAAAATTGCTAATGGGGAAGGGAATAAAGAGCAGATTTCACATTACAATAAAAATGAGCGATTATTTAGAACAAAAAGCAAATGGCATTTTCTGAGAGTTTGGGTTTTAACCGAGGTGCTTCTCACGCAACTGGAGTAGAAGGGAGTATTGTCAAGCACAAGCATTTTTGATTTTTGCCAAAGGCTTAACGAAATTCAGGGAGATGCCCCTGGAGAAGATGTGTGTCACATGCAGGACCAATGAAAGCATTGAAAAGGTCAGAGAAAAGATTTATGCAGATGATGTTTGAGGAGTTTTAGATTAACTCTGTATGGAAGAATTTGAGGGAAATGTCAGCATTTGTGGTATGCTGTTTCATGAATAGTAGAGTGAGATTTCTTCTCTTTCATCCATTATGGGAAGCTAGATAAATATTTTTTTGAAGGACAAAAGCCCCACCAAGGTGGTGTTCAAAAATCTTGATATACAGGAATACAAAGGTGAAAATTATAAGTACAGAATATTAAAGGAATTATTTGTGTTGGAACTTCACATTGGAGGGTTAAAAAATCATACTTATGTAAGAAGGATGAAATGTTTAGAAATTCTGTGATTACAAACACTGGGCCATAAATGTGGTATAATCTTAACACAGTTCCAGCTTTTAATGTGTGCTTTTTGGATTTCTTTTATATATATAAAAGAAACACACATACACATACATAGATATGTACACATGCATTTGTGTGTAGATATATGTGTATATCATTGTTGAGTCACCGAGCACATTCTGGAGGTTTACTACCAGACTAATTTTAGCTTTCCTAGAAGATCGCCTTCTAGTAAAGTAAAAGATTATTTTACACCAGTGATGGTTGAAATGATGAAAGCAAAGCAATGAGAGACTGTACAAAATGCAGCCCAAATATACTGTGCAGTGACGGAGTCATTGGAAAAGATGTCTATTGGAAAAGTCATTGGAAAAGAAGCGTATATTCCTTAGGCTTGGGGCTGTTAATTTAAATAAAACAGCATCTTAAAATTTTGTTTCATAAATAAAAAGCAGTGGTAGAAGACAGGTGAAGTCCAGAGGTGCTGTGTAAGCTCTTAGCCTCACACAAAGGAGGGAGGGCTTCCTTTAGAGAAGGCCTTGCTCTGGACAGACACTCCCTCTCTCTTCTCTGTATGCCTGCTGGGGAGTTTGCTTTCCTTCCTAGCTTTGCTGGGTTCAGGGGTGGGGTGAGGGGGGAACAGTAAATGAAAACGTTAATGCAAACGTGCATTTCGGTGGTGGAATTTTGTGTACCATGTGTTACAGATGAAATTCCGCTGTAGGTTTTATTCAAATTAATCTTTCAAGTAATAAATCCAAAACTTGCCCCCCGCATCTAGATGTAACCTTCATAAATCATCATGTCCTGTGACTTGTAGCTTGAGACTATGTAAGTCATCGGTTTTGTTACACATACAGACAGAGTTACGCACAGAGATGAGAAGGGAAACCCTGGTTAAGAGTAATGTTCTGTGCTTCCCCACAAACGTAACAGAAGTAGCTTCTGCAGAATTTCCTTAGTAATAAAGAAAGCATGTTTCCAAGAGAATAGTAGCTAGCTAACTTAAAATTTAATTTTTTCTTAAATTCCAGTGGTCTGAATTTCTGGAGGACAGACATAGGCAAAATAATTTTAAATTCATGAATTTTATCATTGTACCTTTCTGGCAAATAACGGAGTTCTAATATGAAACGCTGTGACTAATTATACTAACATACGGGAATTGTTGTTCCTGATTTATCCTAAGTTCAGGGGAGAATTTTACAACTATTGGATATAATGGGGTCGGTGAGGACTGAATGACACTTGGACTTGCAGAAGGTCAATACTTGAATTAAATGTCATGCTTATCTTGGGGGTGGAAGTAAGAAAAGCTTGTGGGGATGCTATGAAAGACGCCTTTGTACGTAGCACAGCTCCTTCCGGTGGCTCATTTTCTCATAAAGGTCCCAATAAGGGAGAAAGAAGGCTCCAGTGAACCTCCTGAGATCGGATAGGATTGGAGACAGCGGCATGAACTTAATGAATGTTAAGATTTTTATATAAATAAATTGTATGTGTTGATGTATGTTATATACATTCAGATGTGCATATGTGCATGTGTAACGTGGGACGAAGTAGCTACAGATGTGAACACACAGACACACGTTCACTAGCTCTGTCTTCTAGCAGTGAGACCCCAGAGCCAGTGAACTTAGCTAGTCCTCAGAATTTGGTTTTTATACCATTCTCCATTAAAAAGGATGCAAATTCCTGGAGAAATGACGGATTCCAGGGCCGATGGGACAAGGAGAACAAAGAGGTACTGAGACAGTTTGTGGTGCCAGAATCTAAGGAAGCTCGCACACAAGGACAGAGACAGGTCACGATACAGGAGCCTACGCCAGGAGCTCCAAAGAGCAAAGACAATTTGAGCTACAGAGTCAATAGTTATTCTAAATGGCTTTAACTCACAGAATAAAATGAGAATATGTGAATATGAGTAAATAGTGGGAGGGAAATGAATTTTTTCCTAAGTGTAAAATTCCAACTAATCAAAGTAGAAGAAATGATTGGAAACAAAAATTCACTGTTAAACACCACGGTCAGAATTGTTTTAGGGAAGGATTAATCAATGCTAACGTCAGTGAGGAACCATGTGGTGAGAAACAAGATAATTACATATAAGCCCTTACTATTGTTGAGTACAAAGGGAAAAATAGTCACTCTTTGGTGGAAAACCAGACCCAGCTTTAAACAAGTATGCTTTCTGATACAAGGAGAGGGACAGGTCACTAGTGTTTGGTTATTGCCCCAAATGTATAACCTGATGTAATAACAAGCCCAAACGGACCCGGACTGAAAGATACTCATTGGCCATTGCTGAGAGTGTCAAAGTCACGAAAGGCAAGGAAACTGAGGAACTGTTCCCCATTTAAAAGGACCAGGGAGACATGACAACAAAATGCAGCTTGTGATCCTGGATCAGAAGTAGGGCATTGAGGTAAGTGATGAAATTTGAAAAAGGTTGATAGATTAATACTGAATCAATCCTGTCAGATAATTTCCTGATTTTGATAGCTGTACTTCGGTTATCTAAGATATTAATATTTGAGAAATATAGGTGCGTGGTAAACAGGAAATGTTAGTATTTTGCAATGTTTTTGTAAACCTCAAATTATTAAAAAAATGAAAAGTTAAATATTTAAAAAAATAAGCAGTTTTGGCCTTTTGTCACCTATTGTGTGTTTAATGACAACTCGTAGTTCAGTTGTGCAGATGCTGTGGCAGCTGATGATGCCGGAGGGTATCCTTAGTGAACCTCATGCTCAGACCGTTGTTTCAGGTTCATTTATGCCTGAGGACTAAAAGAAATAATTTGTTTTAAGAGATGGAAAAGTGACAGGATACATTGATCACATTTTAATACGGTTTGGGCCCTTTTAAATTATTCTTTGCGATGTCTCCTGAATACTCGAATTAGATATTTTAGGGCAGAAATGTCTCAGCCTGAGTGCCTCCAGTTATGTGAGAACAGCCCAGAGTGGGGTGAAGATTGATTTTCAACCATCAAGATAGTTTGACACTCAGTGGCAAAAATCTAAAACAGAAACGTGAGAAAAGGTATACTTGGTAAAAAGAAGAAAGTTCCTTCCATAGCCACATTCCTCAGCATAGAACTCTTAGTGGGCAAACACTTTAGTATTTGAGAAGATAGTAGCTGGTGTACTTGTAATGCCCTCTCTGACAGAGTGTCCTAGATCCCTTGATACTCTTACTGCTTTATTTTAAGAATTAATCCCATTCTTTATTTCTGCATTACAGGACAACATTAACATAGATGAAGCCGCCCGGTTTCTAGTGGAGAATATTCTTGCAAACCACCAAAGCTTTCCTAGTGAAGAAAATGATGTGGGCAAAATTAAACTAGATCAAGAGACCTTGAAAGCAGAGAGCAAATCCCAGTGTTGCTGAGAGGGCCCCTGTATCTTCCCAGCGAGTTCCTGAGAATGAGTTGCACAGAGAGGCCGGCTGCGGGTCTTCCCACAGACGGCCCCTCAAAATGCAGCTCCACCGTGCATTGCCTACATGAGTTTGAAAATGGAACATCTGAGACCGGTCCCTGCTAGTAGCACCACAGCCTACCAGATGACCGTTAGGCTTTTGTTGTTGCCATATAGTGAGGATAATGTTTACGTCCTTCCTTAACATCTTTTTAAACGACAGTTCCTCAGGATTTTGTAAGACTACCTTCCAAGTTGTAGCTTTCAGTGTAAGGGGTAGGTGGTAATAAAACCTTACCCACAGCCTCACGGTCAGTTAAAGTCTACATTTTGCCTTTGTATTCATTCCATCCTCCCTTTTGAGTGAGGTTTTTATACTCTGTCCGCCACAACCCCTTGAAGTTTCTCCAGCAATTTTCTATCTGAAACTTGTGTACTTCATATACAATTGTTATGCTTACATGTAACTTGACCAGTTGTAGCTGATGTGACATGTCTTAAACATTAAATACAACGTGACCACGCCACACCTGTACTACAGATGTCTCCTTCTGGATCTGGTCGCTACCCCTTAGAAACAGAATAGATTAGCGTGTTTTCTCCTCCTCCCTAGTTCTTCCTCTCTTCTTCTTCCTGTGTGTTTTTGTTTGCAACTGACAGTCTGATTGGTATCACTGGTCTAATTCTCTCTTACTGGAGCCAGTCTTTTCAGTCTCTAATAGGAACGGTGAAGGAGAGAATGGATGTCAAAGCACGTGCAGTGACAGCCGAGTTTCTAGGTCATGTGTGGTCTTACTGGGTTTTGGACACTTCAAGTGTATAATATTTGAGAAACTTAAGGCAGAGTCACAATTATTTGTGTGTTTGTATTACCATTTAACCCCATCAAGAAACAGGACAGATGTTTTGAAGTTTTATTTTTGAATTAATGTAGTTTTAGGAAGGTAATATGGGGTATATTTTTCTGCCTTCAAAAACTGTTCACTGTTACTATTTTTTTTAAACTTTTTCTCATTTCAAAATATTAGGGGGGAACAAGTGTTTTAGGTTACACGGATTGTTTTGGAACCGGCACTTGAATATTTATTGCCTACTGTTTTTAAGGGACTTCATCAGACTATGTCAATTTATTGGCTTAAGAAAGGTCCAATGTAATTTCTTTCAAAGAAATGTTGAGGTTTTTCAAAGCTAATGTACAATGAGATATTGGCCAAACTTGTCTTATAACTTAAGTGAACTTGGCGAGGAAAGATCCAAGCATTTATTGAAAATAGAAAAAAAAAAGCTAGAAAGAAGTGCATTTGCTTTGCTGTGTTCTACAAATTAATAGTTGCCATGGGCCATAAAACATAGCTCTCTTCCAATTAAACCTAAGTCTTCCCTAGAAATCACAAATGTATGTCAGATACTTAATTAAAAAATACTCCTTGATCTTTTTAGATAGGTATTCTATATAGAACCAGATTTTCTGAGGTGACAGAATAGAAAACCCTGATTAAGTAATAATTATGACTTAATATAACCCCTTTTTAATTTAAAAGAATGTTGAGTTAAATATTAGTTTTCTGTGATATATATGTCATACTGTAAAATTATTTCTACTCTAGGTACAAAGTATAACTTTTTAACCTTTTTAAATCTTAGAGTCCAATAATATAAGGAGGGAATGATGCCAAACCCCAATTATTAGAAATATACAACTTATCGTAAGCAGTTAATGAGAGTCTAAAGTCTACTTAGAATTTTCTTTTTTTATATTGATTTTTACATTTACAAGAAATTCATCATTGCTTTAAACAGTGGATTCAAAATCAGGAATAGTATAGTTTTTTTGGCCATCTTTACTCCTCTTAGGGTGATTTTAAGCATCCATAGTATCTTAAAAATTGTAGGTTTTTTTTGAAACATTTTCAATGTGGGATAGTTTATTGTATTTATCATTTCCTATGATATGGAGGGTGATGGGCTCAAACCCGGCCTCAGCCAAACTGCAACAACATAAAAAAAAATAGCCGGGCATTGTGGCGGGTGCCTGTGGTCCCAGCTACTCGGGAGGCTGAGGCAAGGGAATCGCCTACGCCCAGGAGTTGGAGGTTGCTGAGAGCTGTGTGATGCCACGGCACTCTGCCATGGGCGATAAAGTGAGACTCTGTCTCCACACCAAAAAAAAAAAAAAAAAGAAGGCAGCAAAACTGAGTAACTGTTTTGCATTACTCCAAAAGTTTTGCCACCATTTTTTTGTAACTTGAAAATAAAATTTGAATTTAGGGTAAGCTACATAAATGGCTAAAGAAGGAAATACTGGGCCTTTTTTATTCACTTTGAAAAATCAATTACACAAACATTAGCTGAGAGATGCTGGCAAAAACTGTAGACTGCTTCATCAATTTACAGATAAGTGTCACATGCTTTTTTGAATTGTCATCATGAAATTTATGTTCTAATAGAGTGTGTGTATGCGCGTGCGTGTGTGTGTGTGTGTATCAGCAACCCAATGTTTCTAAAAGTGATTATTACTAGAAGCTGTGACTTTTTGAAGTGTCGTTTGGTTTCCTCAAATATGTCTATTAACCATCTAAGTTGCTCAATGAAAAATTCTAAGACTCACTTTAGACAATGAAAAATCTAGGGATGGGGCTCAGAAATCTGGTTTTATAAAAAATCTGGTGTTCTTTTTGAAAACTTCCTGAAGTGGCAGTAGTGAAAGTATTATTTAATTTGAAATCTATGATATTTCTCAAAACATGAACACTTAAAATATAGCACTTTCATTTCCTTTTATAAATTATCATTTAAAAGTCTGAATGGAAAAGCAGTATAAATTCTCTTTCATCTACTGAAGAAAGCAGATTTAAGGGTTCTGATAGGCTGGACTGATCTCTTAAGTACTGGTAGAATTGGCTAGCCGTTTGGAATCTAAAGTCATACTTGTATTGCACTGCTTCCAAAATGATACAATATCGAAATTAAATGTAAAAACAAGATTAAATACAAGAAATTAGCATAGATTGCAAAAAACTTGATGTTGGGATTTTTAAAACTGCTTTTAAATTCTCAGGTGATGAAAGCTAAAGAGAATTAGATACATTTGATTGCATCAAAATACCTTGTATAGCAAGATTACATGAGCAAAATTATAACAAGCCACAGACAAAATATTTACAAGGCTTTTCATTAGGTTAAGAGTCAATAAGCAGGATAAAAAACACCTTAGTCTGAGTGACAATAGGAGAAGGAAGTAAAACCAGTGTTACAAAGAAGAGGCAAGTCTTAGCAAGTAGGAAACATTAAAAACAATAAGCAAGGTTGTTATCAGATTCACACAAGAAACGTGTAAGATCAGTCACATCCCTGAGAACATCCTGGAAAATGGGTATTCATAATCTGCTATTAGACTAAATTTATTTTAATAAATACTATCAAGTCTTGCCAAAAAGTGGAATGTTACTGTTGGGGAAGTATAATTAAAAACAAAATCTCATCCCAACCCAGAACACGTTTCCATAAAGAGAAGGGACAGAATATGATACACACTACAGAGAATCCTGCAAGACAGTGGTTCTCAACCTACGGGTCATGACCCACAGGAACCGTATTAAAGGGCTGCAGCATTAGGAAGGTTGAGAACCACTGCTGTAAGAGACTGCAAAGACAGAAAAAAATCGTAATCTTGTATGCAGCCGAGTAGATTCAATACCTTACATATATGTTCTCAAGATAATAAGTAGTCCACAATCAAATGATAGGACCATTTATTACACATAGTTCATCTTAAATTCACTGGTACTTGGGATGACCATATGTATTAGCTGATTGGCTTCACCTAAAAAACTGATTTCTTAGATCTTTATGTCTTGATGTGCCTTGGTGCAAGGTACCTGACAAAGTTAGGTTACTACCCTCCAACAGAAACCGAGACAGGCCTGCTGTCTTCCTTGATGTTTTCATCAAAGAGATGGCTCCCAGGTCTTTGAGAAAGCTGTTGAAGGCTATTTCAACTTATAAAGATTTGCACACATTTTGAAGAGACAGAGAAAGAACTTAGAAGCTTCTTTGATGTAGAGAATCTCAGAAAAGGGAAAAAGGCATCTTGGAGAATCTGTTCCCTTATTTTCACCAGGGGAATTGAGCTTCTTATTTTTAATTTGTATTTGCACTTCCCGGCAACCCTAAATGTGTGTTTGTATGTACAAGAAAGAAGTCTGTTCTCCCCAGACTGCTTGTATGTACTTGATGCAACAACTACCACCACCAAAAAAAAAAAAGGAAACAATCTAAATGCTCCTCTGTAGGGAAAATAAAATGGATTATTGTATTTTCATACTCGGAATACTGTGCAGCAGGATAGTAACATCCATGTAAAAGTACATATTAGGCCGGTAAAGGCTTTGTGAGCCATCTAGGAAGATCAATACCAAATCCCTGATTGTAACTGCCTCAGAGAAGGGCTGGTGTTAGCAATGTTGGTCAAGACTGACTTCACCTTTTTAGATAAAGTTTATGTTTTATGGCAATGCCTCATAGGTGTTACTAACAATTAATACAATGCTTTAAAGAATAGCTTGAACTGTCTTTTTACTATATGTAATAATATCACCAAAGATTTTGTTCTTTTCATATCATATATATGTCTGTTCATTTAATTAAATTTTTTAAGTTCAGTAGTAAAAATGTCCGTCTACACACGCATGTGGGGAAATTTTCGTTTTTGTTCACTCTAGTCAGTGTTCGAAAGGGCCAGGCCAGGAAGGGCAGGGATAGAAGTTAATTAGTAGGTGCAAATAACATGGTTTTATAGAAGAAGTAAGATCTCGTGGTAGATAGATAGGTAGGGTGACTATAGTTTACAATAACCTATTGGGCATTTCAAAATAGCTAGAAGAGAAAAATTCAAATGGCTCTAGCATAAAGAAAAAATAAGGTGATGGATTTCTTAAGTGCACTGATTGGATCTTTACAAATTCTATGAATGTATTAAATTAGACATTCATCTATACCCCGAAACTATGTAAATCTATTATGCATCAACATAAAAAAGAAAATAAATACTGAAAAAAATAGTAAGAAAAAATTAAAATAATCCTCATTATTAATGATAATCATTCATTAGTCATAGTTAATAACTATTACTTTTAGTGTATGTTCTTCATAAAGTAATAGCAAGGGCTGCATATATATTAATATCTATGTATCTATGACTACCTATACAGATATTAAAAAAATTAATAATTTCTAATGACACAGTCATGTAACATTACAGCATTATAATATTTTTCCATTTACATTTTAGTGTGAGCTTTCCCCAAGTTAATGAATGTTCCTTAAAGCAAATGACTCTATAATATTCCATTGTATGTTCATAACAAATCATAATAATCTAATACTCTACCCCCACAAAGAATAGATAACTGTACAATTTGAAGAACAGGTTTTATATTATATTTATATTGTATTATATTAATTATTTAAAATTACATGAACTACCTATTTCTCATTTATTTATTTATATATTTATTGAGACAGGGTCTTGCTCTGCTTCCCTGGTTAGAGTACAGTGGCATCATCCGGAAAC